GGGCTTCCCCGGTTTCTCTGTGGCATCCCAACAATTACTCCATTTACACACAGAAGAAGGCAATGGCAAATCACTTCTGGATCATCTGCCAAGAACGTATATGAACAGGTCCCAGTCCGAGAAAAGGATGGAAGGATCCTGTTCATATGGACCTGTCGTCAGACAGAACACTAAATAAAAAATAAATAGATGTATTTACATCTTTTTTTGCGTGCGTGATAGTCGGATGCCTTGGGTGTAGGCGCTGAGTATGTGAAACGCATCACATTAATGCTAAAACCACGGCATTCAGTTCACCACCCCATACTTTCAGGAAACAACTTTGAACAAAGGCATTTGCCATCCTTTTTGCAGAGAGAATATAGCATAGTATTTGGTGCTCAAAGGGAAAACGCTTTCCCCCTTCGAAATCCTATCAACTACCTGCGTGTATGTGACAGGTTCCGACGTAAAGAATACAGCTAATATGACTGACATAAATTTAAACGAAATTCTGCGTGAACGCCAAGATATTTGTACATAAAGTTACCTCCTCCCCACAACCTACGTATGACGTAGAAAGCCACAGCTCGGGCGGAAACTGTAGAGATGTTGCCAGTCTTTATTTGAAATCGAAGCGTCAAACAGTTCTGTCCGAGGCAGGAACTTTGTAGCAGTGGCTCCTATCAACTGTGATCCAGTTCTGTTTACTGAGCGCTGATTCAAGGGGATTATTAAATCGAGACTGAGTTGTATTTAATTCCAATATGGCGGCATTGCGAGACAGGAAGAAAACTAATAATTTGAAATAACGGTAACGTTAATGGTTAACTGTAATCTTGTAACTGTAATGGTAAGCAACATCTTAGGTACTTTTTAAGTAAATTTAAACAGTAAGACGTCACGTTGAAACGTCGTTGTTATTAGAAGTGGGAAAATGACAGCTAGAAATTTTGTGTAAAACGTTGTTTTGTTTCTTGTTTTCTGCCCTGAGAAGGGACACGAATTAGACAAACCTGGAAGTTTGTTAGTTACGAAGTTGTACGCTGTCAAACCTTAATATACCTCGTTACCTGGCGAAGCAAACTTTCAGATAAATATATAACATTTATATAAATAAATTTCGGAGACATTTCAATATACATATGGAATGATGGAAGTTTTGAATATTTTGAATCTTTTCCCGATTTGGAAAGGAATTATATACCTAGTGAAATTTTAGGATATTTGGATATTACAGGTTGTGATATTTTTCCACCTCACTTCTGATTTTCATTAATGATGTGCTAAAATAGGCATGGATCTAGAAACTCCATTGCCGCTGCATGTTACTTATTTTTAGGCAGCTTGTACTGCATTATTTTAGCTTGCTGTCTAAATATTAGTCGCCTGCACGTGGCATTCCTTGAGGGAATCTTCTTTCTCATCATCTCGACTTTTAATTAATTTCTCATTCTTTCCTAGCATTGTAGGTAATTAAAAATTCGTGACACGGGATTCGATTAAGATTGTCCTCTATGTACCAGTACTTACCGTATGGATTAAATTAAATATCTTACTTGAGAATAAATCTCTTCTGCCGGAAGAAATGTCTTGCGAAGAAAATCTTTATAATATCGGAGCTCATGTATATCCAAAACATAAAATATTCAGATCACGTAAAATATTGTTCGAAATAGTATTCTAACTTAACTAATGGGGCATGGGCTTATACAAAAGCCACTGGGCTAACTTAACTTTGTTGATCAGAATAATAAAAATCCATAATGCAACAGAATGGCACCAATAAATGAATCCGCCAGATTAACGCAGTTCACATTTTCATATCATGTATTTTAAAATCCATTTTAATATTATCTTCCAATTTATACCTCGGTTTTGCAAGTGACCTTTTTACTCAGGCTACAAAACTAAAGTAGTGTATGCAATTTTTATCTCTCAGTCGTGCTACATGCCCATACCATCATATTCTCTTGAGTTTGTAACATTAATAAATTTGTTGGAAATTACAAAATGAAAAACGGGTTATAGGTATGATTGTTTGAAAATATTATAGATCTAAATGGAACATATACATACAGAACCACGAAAGTAACATAATTTTTGTCCTTATTTCCGAGGTTTGGTTTAAAATGTACAAAATTCGGTTTTCGTGGATAAGCCGTGTATATTTTGAAGGCTTCCAAGAGTTTCGGCAAATGTCGACAGACAATGATAAAACACGAAAGACAGAAACGTTCATTACGTATGTTGAAACATAGAAAAATTAACGATTATCAGTTTTATTACTGCTACATTGTAAGTTATCGAATATATTTCTAAAAGTAATTAAAAATCAAAATCTGTGATGTCTAGAATAGTTTAGATTACCTTTATATCAGCTTAGCATAAATATTATCAGCAGAAATAGATGTTGTTTCTAGCAATGGTCAGTTTATTATCGCCTGTCTTAAAACTTCATTACTTTTAACCGACAGCAATCAATCTGTCTAGAAATTTTAAGTCACTGTGTAACTGGCTTAGAGAGTCACGGTGGTCTAGCGGTTAGAACGCTGGCCTTGTAATCCTGGGGTCTCGGTTTCGATTCCCGGCGGTGCCCGAATTTATAACTTGTGTTGGGCAAGGCCGTGGTCTAGGCAACACGGAGTTTTCCTCCGTGGCATCCCAACAATTACTCCATTCACACACAGAAGAAGGCAATGGCAAACCACTTCTGGATCATCTGCCAAGAACGTATATGAACAGGTCCCAGTCCGAGAAAAGGATGGAAGGATCCTGTTCATATGGACCTGTCGTCAGACAGAACACTAAATAATATAATAGTAATAAGTCCATGTGGCATTACAACCCTGAAGATCAACATCGACATTTTCACCGCTGTGAGAACCTCAGATCTTATAAAACTTTGCTTTTATAGTTTACACACTGAAACCAGCGAAAATCCCAAGATACTTGTGTACATTCCAGATACACCAAGTGGTTACATATTCTTACCTGTATTGTGGTTAGTTTGAAGGGTGCAATCCTGTTGGTCCGCTGAGTGTGTTTTGTTGTAAGCTCTCTCGGGCACAGCTTGCTTTATTGTCTGTCCTGTTCTGGTTACCAATAATTGAATGGACTGGACCCCACAAACACACATACATACACACAAAACACTGAAACACGACGTAGAACAGTTAATCCACTTTGTGTACAACACCTTTTAGACACCGAACTTACGTTTGTCTGGAGTGAAACGAATCGCATTTTGTCATGTTATCGACTGTCTCAGTTAAGTAGAATCGCGGAACTTTGTTTAACGTGAGCTTGTATCTCTGAATATAATTCATATTCCCATTTATCTTTGTTTTGTTTGAGGATTCACATCTTGCTATAAATACGTTTAAATCAACCTTGCCCGAGTCTGAGAAAATTAGCTTCATTTCAAATGTATTTCACGTGCCTTTGTATGTCCATCCGACAATGTTCTAAACTCACAGCATTAATTTTTAAGGAATTGAAAATTGTTGATCAAGTCCACACCATGAACAGATATTTTTTTCTTAAACAATATATATATATATATATAAAGTTCTCACATCCACTGCTGGAAAATATACAAATTTTCCCGAAGTTTAACACTATAATTTAAAGTACTGAATATTATAGGCGGTTTGACGTCTATTAATACGTGACTATAATTTAACTGTCCATGTTGCTATTCGTACAACGTTACATTAACAGAGAGGAATTGACGTTTTATGTATATACGAACTTTCTCCCTTATATTTCACACACGGTTATCTATTATAACAAAGTACTTGCTAATTTAGTGTTTTATTACACCATTATTCCTGAGTGTCTATTTGTGACATTGAGAAAAAAAACACACAAAAAACATTTATTTCAACACGTTAAAGTTACTATGTATTAAACACCGTCACACGCTCACACATACACGAGTCATACGGAATATTCAACATTTCCCTTCACTTTTATATATTTATCTTATTTGGAAATCTAAAGTACTTTGTAATTCATGTAAAAAATGGTTTCTCCGCATGTAGAGTTTTATCTCTTTGTTGGAGGGGGAACGCTGAACAGTTGTTCATCGTCTGAAAACGTCTCTGTGTATTTGTGGCAGTTTTAAGAGCTTCCTAGTCTATCGAGTTCTTTTGAATTTCAAATTATGATGTTTTTTTTTCGGGGGAGTAGTGCGGAATGCATTAAATAAAGAGCGAAGGGATGGAACAAATTTCACTGCTTATATTTCTCGAGGAAAAAATATCCGAACTTTAAATAGCGAAACAAAATATGGGCAGTTGGAAGTTCATTAAAATTCCCGGTTAAGTTCCTTTACGATTCAGAGGGGAATAAGTAAATAAATTTGAATGAAATGTAATGATTTTAATACTGGCGGGACGGAAAATTATTTTAAGATCTTCAGAAAATTTATTGAGATGAAGTGACGAAAGCCGGGAACCAAACTGTGGGGAGAGAGAAAAAATTGTGGTGTTAAAATAAATCAGTCCATGTAGGCCTCTATTTCTGATGTGTTAAAATTATTTTTGTTTCCTATACCCTCGAGTTTAAAAAAGATTTGCGTAAAAATATTAAATATATTTCAGCGGTGTAATGAAATTTAGGCCCCTACCTATCATGCCATTTCCTCTCTATTAATGTTACACTTCCGCTTAGGGGCAGTAATGTTCACGTGCCATGTTCATTAGTAAAAAAAGGTGTTTGGTGTTTACAGTGATTGCAATTATGTATTTTTTTCCCCACCATAGTAGAACGGGTGAAGTCACTTAAATCGATAAATCGTTTACATTAAAACCCGAAATCACCACCGCAGTCCATCCCATAATCACCATCATCGAATCCTAAATCACCATAATCATCATGCACATACGTCAATTCATTGTTGGTTGTCGTGGTATTGGCGGTGACCTCGTTGTTGATGACTGTGTTGTTGACGTCGTAGTGATTGTTGATGTGCACGTCTGTGGTGTCGTTATGGTAGAAGCCTCCACCGTGTCCGAAGCCATAACCGCCAAGGCCGCCTCCCCAGCCCCAGCCATGGCCCCAGTTACTGAGGGCTGCGCCCATAACGACGCCTGTAGTGAAGTCCGTCGCGGTGCCACAACCTTGATGTTCCCGCACCACGATTGTCGTGTTGTTGCCCGCGGGTTGCAGTGGCTGTATGACTGGCCGAGTATAGCCGTTCTGAGGAAATGCCCCTCCTGCAGGAGACACGTGATTGTTGGTGTTCACGTAAGCGGGTGGTACCTCTCCGGGCATCGAAGCTGTGACAGAAGCAACATGGCTGGTATAATGCAGCTTAGATTTTTGTCTTTTGGGTTAATAGTGACGTATAGATTTGCGGGTAGATAATATTTTGGGAGGATCATACTGAAGATAGAGGCGGTATGTTTCTCCGAAATGTTGATGTACATCCACAAGTATACCTAGAAACGAACATCGATATTTTGTTATAACCTAGAAACGAACATCGATATTTTGTTATAACCTAGAAACGAACATCGATATTTTGTTATAACCTAGAAACGAACATCGATATTTTGTTATAACCTAGAAACGAACATCGATATTTTGTTATAACCTAGAAACGAACATCGATATTTTGTTATAACCTAGAAACGAACATCGATATTTTGTTATAACCTAGAAACGAACATCGATATTTTGTTATAACCTAGAAACGAACATCGATATTTTGTTATAACCTAGAAACGAACATCGATATTTTGTTATAACCTAGAAACGAACATCGATATTTTGTTATAACCTAGAAACGAACATCGATATTTTGTTATAACCTAGAAACGAACATCGATATTTTGTTATAACCTAGAAACGAACATCGATATTTTGTTATAACCTAGAAACGAACATCGATATTTTGTTATAACCTAGAAACGAACATCGATATTTTGTTATAACCTAGAAACGAACATCGACATGAAAATGGCTGTCTTGTGGGTTGTTTCAACGTGTTGTGTTTTAGAAATTAACCGATATTTCTGAGGTGTTCGCTGCCTCCATCGTCAACATAAGTTATATATATATATATTTTTGGTTGAAATTTTCAAAATACCCGAAAGATATAAGACTGTTTTTGTTTGCAGGCAAAACGTGCAGTAAGTTATGCAGGACTGTACGTAATTTATGGGCGTGATGCCGACCGAGTATCAGTCGAAACATGTAACATGCTCTAAGAAGAAAGTTGGATGGTGTTTGAGACTACGAAAAATTATAATCCTTGATAACACATCGCGATGCTGTAATACAGAATTGACAGAATCATTCACTGAACTCTTTATTAACCCTGTGACATTCAGAAAACGGTAACGGAACATAATTTCAGTTTTTTGAATAGTTAAGGCATGTAGAATATTGAAAATTTGTGTAAGATGTAAGATGTATTTCAGCCACCAGAAATTTTGAGTTATGAACATTCTTTAGTGAATGTTTGTTCTTGTAGTACACTAGAAGTATGGCCGCAGTTCTAATGTCGCTAAAATTCGACAAACGCTCGCATTCCTCGAAAGCTATATACAGGCCTGCCCATTCGACACGTGTAATCACAGGAGGTATCATCATCCTCCTCAAACCCAACATCTTCACCGAGACTTGAACCCAGGATATTTTTCGGGTTTATGAAATTAGTTCCTGTAATATCCCCCGCTGAAACAAACTAATATCGAGCTACAGGAACCGCCCTTAACCGACCCTCGATTATCCGATTCCCGCATTAAGCGACCGAATATCAACGAGATCGGTTGCGATCGATTTCCACCGGCGAGAGTGGTTAAAGGGACTCGAGAACATTACGTTTATTGAAAATTTAACCTTTGTGTAATCTCTGCTGATCTCAAGGAATAAGTAAGCTAGTTTTTGTGGATACAAGTTTATTCGTTCTTGAGTTACAAGCGAACATACACACCCACAATTTAATTTTTTTTTATAAGATTAACATTTTGCTTTTATGATTTATGAATAGGATATTGCCTGCAACCTCAACTTCATGGAACTCTGATTGCTTTCTATGCTACACGTAAGCCTGTTTATTTTTATTCTATTGGTTAGAAGCAAGGAATACGTTTTGCGTCGACTGGCTTCTCAAGCACAATGCATCGGAATTCAGCAAGGTTGGGCTGTGTACGAAACACTTGAACTGATTCATACCTCGGCTTCTCTTGTTTTCGCAAATGAAACTTTTGATAATAAAATGTTTTTACCGTTCATGCATATCGCCGTAGAAAATTTAGAAGTTTTTGTCTTTCTTTCGAAGGAAATTAGGCCGTCACATTGAAGCAGCTTTTATATAATATCGAGTAACTGAAGTTAATTAACGAGCAAGATATGAATTCGGCACATGACGTAATTAAAACTGAGCAGGGTTGCCATCAAGTTAAATTACTACTCGTTACAAACCTTTACACTTGTTCTGCCATTTGTTATAACACGGTCAGCATGCAAAATAAGATTTGATTCGTGGAAATGTTTTAATGGTATTTCTCAGAATTACGTAGGAGGTTGTTATTGACATGGTTAATAAACGTGGTGTATTCAAACAAAATGAGTGAAATCCGGCTTTGAAGTATTGAATATACTGCCACATTTTGATGAAATTCAAAATAAAGAGTGGAAAAATGAAATTCACTTTGGGGTGCACAGAATTTTCAAACGAGTTCTCTTCTGTCCCTTTACCTCATTGATAATCAACATTGTTGATATTCTATACCATAGAAGCAAACTTATACGTCTATATTTTAGGGTCAGTGTCATTCGGCAAAAATGTGTTACGAAAAAGTGTTACGAAAAATTGTTACGAAAAAGTGTAACTTCATTATGTTACTTAGGAAACCTCATCTGTTTACTCAGCATTGTTGTTACTTAGGAAACATTACATTACCTTAGCTTATATTACATTACCTTACCTTACATCTCATCTCATTACATTACTTTACATTACATTCAGCTACCACAGACCCATTTTAAGCGTAATTAATTGAAGTTGAATAAGCAAAGTCTTAAACAAACTTTACTCAATTGTAAAGCATGTATAAAGGAAATGTTTAGAATAAAGCCAATATATAAACTTCCTTTCCGTATAGACGTATTTACGTCAAATTCTCCGGAACCATGGTTCCACTGTCATTTTTGTTAACTATATACTATAGACCAGTATTGAAGAATGCTACGTACGTTATAATAGCCGTCTATGCTTCGCTGAAAACTTGGTCTGTTGAACTCATGTCAAGAAAAGATTTCCAAAAAGTAGCAGAATTGATACAGATTAAATAAACCAGAATCTCCCACGTTTATTCAAGTTTATGATTGAAATACATGATTTTAAGTGTGTGCTTTCGGGCACGAATTCGCATGTAGAGAAATTTTAATGGTACGAGCAATGTTGAAACTCGGTCAGAAATCCTTCATGAAACACTTAGATTTTCACTGAACACAATTCTGATAATTTTATTCATCTCCTTGTTTTATTTATATGGGTCATGTATTTTTCATGTTAAAGGCAGAGAAATTGGGGAGGGGGAGAAATCAATGTTGTCTGATGAAGCGTGAAATGTATGTGAACAGTTTTATGTATTTTTGTCACTGGATACATATCAGCAGTGACTTTCGTTGCAGATAAAAAGTTGTAAATTATGACGCGAAGTGAATGTTGTAGTGCGGAGATATTTTTATTTTGTTGAAGACAACTCGAAAGAAATCAGCGGTCAGTTAAAGTAAACTTTATCGCTGTATCTTATTTTCTTGTAACAAATATATAATTTATACGTCTATAAGATTTTATCGTAGTGTGCTTGGTGATTTATATAACCTTTGAGGCATATATTACATTACTAGTTTTGAGACCCCCATTAATTTCCGATTTCATAGGAACTCTTCAATCATTAAAATGAGTAACAGATATTTATGTTGGGGATAAAAGTTTTAAAGAAATAAGTGAACTGGCAGGAATTGGATTTTTTCGTCCAAGATCAAGTTGCTGTGAAACGTAACTCTTTATAACTGCATTCGAGAGGTGTCTGGTTCAAATTTCGGCCAGGTTATAGAACCTACTCTTATTACATTATTTATTCTTTCAATCTCTTTTCAGGCAAATGTAAGGATCTCTGACTTTTAAATGGGCGACGATCGACTCCTGTCGATTCCTTATGTCGTCACCTTTCATATTTGTTTTTCCCACCTCACTCGTGGTATGTGAATTTAAATTCTACAGCTCACACACGTTCTAAAGTAGCATATGGAACAGTAAGTCACATATATTTCATATGGAAGTTTAGTTTTGTATCGATATCTGTCATGCATATGTGTAGACCTATAGCGTACTAAAGGCCGTCTATAGAGACTGGCTCAAAAAATCGGTCAACTAAGTCAGAAGTGGAAAAAACTCCTGCACATCGTAGGAATAAAATATTTTCTGTCGTTTTCAGGAGTTACAAAATTTGAGCTTCACGGTGGTTCTTTCGATGATTGTCTTCAGAGATGTTGCTCCGTGTGGATGTCTAAGTACATACCGACGTTTAGGAGGAGTGTACTGCTGCTATCTTCAGGGCTAAAGGTCCCGGATTCATGTCTTAAGACAGGTTTTTTCTTGGATTTCCTCAGTCTCTCCAGTAAATTGCTAACATAGTCCAACAAGTGACGTACCAAGACATCCAAATTTGCTGGGTTTAAGACTGTAGGCATCCGAAAGTATTTTAATAATTTCCTAATTACTATAATTGTGAATATTTTTTATTTTTTCAAAATTTTAAGAATATTATTTTAATTTTTTAGGGGCATGCATTTCGGTTGGACGAAGTGCGAAGTTTTTCAGGATTTTTTTTTGAAAGAATAGTGAATATAACCTCTTCTTTCCTTCAAATAAAAGTGACTTTTACCTCTTACATTTAAGCCAAAGCCCCACATTCCCACGTGAGTGTATGACAAGAGGTGTCTTATATAGCCCATAAACACCCCTTTCACTCACATTGGCTCATAAAAGTGTTCAGGGTTCCAATAGCCAAGATATTAGACGGATACAAAAAAGGAAAAAATGTAAGGTCGAAGGAAACAATTCGACGAAACGATCTTAAGGTGTCCTACTGAAAGCAGAGAGATTTTCCAGTAAGACGCAACTCGGGTTCAGTTCAATCATTTTCCCTCCCTCTCTCTCTTTCTCTCTCTCGCGCGTGCGCGATCTCGCAAGTTGAGAAAGCAATCATATGGGAAGCATGGCCCGTGATAGTTTCATCATCGAGTGTCCATCTAGACCGGGCGTCATGAAGTTATCATCATCACTTCGGCCGCTTACAGTTTCAACACACAAAAATGATTTCCATACGGCTTGTCTGACCTCGTAGGATTAATTCGACAGACAGACATTGACGGCCTTATAAGGCAGTGGTATTCAACCTGGGGTACGCGAAGACATCTTAGGGGGCACGTGAAATTTAAAAAAATATATATTATTTTATGAAAAACACTGAATAATCAGTAATGTAATTTATTTAATTTATTTTAAATGTAGATTATATAATATGTATAACTTGAATTATACACCAACAACTTTGGGGGTACAAAGTTGAAGAGAAATTATATCTGGGGGGTACGCGAACAAAAAAGATTGAATACCACTGCTATAAGGTGTTCTTCGCTCGCTCTAGAGTGGGAAGAGTTGATAACCAAACTACCTGAAGAATGGAGTAGAGCCAAATCATGTGCATGCCTGTATCTCAGCCGAGTATAACATTATTACGTTGATGATGTTTGTATGCTTCCGGATTTTGTAAAAAATTCGGTCCAGATACGTAACTGCGAATTATACATGACGTAGGAGAACCTGGTAGACGTAAGAAGAACTTGGTTTCGTATGGAAGCACTTCACACTTGCAGCACTGTTAGAGTGAAAACTCGTGTTACACTGCAATAAGTCTGAGCGCGGTGGCTTCTCCTTGGTTTTCCCGCCAACAAGATTCATGAGAGTTTTAGCTGGAACATCCTTCTTCTGTCGTAGAATGCATTCAAACTACTTAACATTACAAGCACGGAACTGGGACATTTCTGACTGCATTTGTCTAGTTCATTCATTTCTGAAACTTTTCTGTTTCAGGATGTATTTGCTTATATCGTAGCTCCGTACTTAGCGTTAGTTTACCTACGATCTCGTAGCTCGTAAAGTTGTCATGTTGGTATTATCAAAGTGAGGGTTAGTATTCTGACAGTAGCGACTATGGTAGCAAGAAAATGGCGCGTATGGTGGGGTTTAGCGGAGTCAGCGTTAAGCGAGAGTCTGTAGTCAAGCAGTCGGTTTTGTGTTGGTGAGTTTGGCGGGAATTTGGTTTCGTTCTTTAATTTAATTTAATTTACTTTATAAAGAAATCTTATGAAGCCTGTACTTGAAAAGCAACTTACAAAGATAATACTATAGTAAGTTGTTTTAATGTACAGCATACTAAAGATTATTTCTCGTCAAATTTGACGGGTCATGGCGAGGCTAGGCTAGTAGGCCCTTAGAGAATAACTTGCTGTGGTCAGTGAACCATCAGTAGAGTTTGGATTTGTCTTAGATCTATCAATATTGGTTAACGCCGTTCTACCCTGCAATTGGTGCCGACGACATGATAAATGATAAGACTGTGATGGTTGGACTGATAACAGCTACTCGATATAGAAAGCGTGATTTTTCACATTTATGTTTTGACTTATGATTGATGCAGATGCTAGAGACTTTAAGAAAAATAAATTACACTGTTTTATTAAACTTGAGATTAAATTAAAGCTGCCGAGCTAACAACACTTAAGTAACAAACATTAAGTTAATTAATTCCCTTGATGTAGAATTTAATTTGATACACAATGCATTCATAAATGTGTGATGGTGTTAAGAAATTGTGTTCAGTGCGGTTAAAATCGTTGATATACAGTGTTTCGTAATAAATTGACATAATTAAATCTAGGTGACATTTCAGGTTCTCATGGCGTCGAGGAAGACGATGATTTTATTCCTAGATATTACGTCGGGTGGCATGGTAGGAATTTAACGGCGTATTGAATATGCTTGGTGGTCGATTAAGAACCTCTGAAACGTCGGTGAACGTTTATCAGACTACACTGCGCAACACCCAGAAGAAGTCAACTTTATAATCGACGCCATGAGAACCTGAAATCTCATATGCACGTGCTTTTTTACATGAACACAATAACTATACACTGGAAAGTCTCTCAAATGTCTCGTTACGGTATTGAACTGTACCGGACAAATTTATTAGTTATTAGATTTTAGGTTTAACGGTGGCGAAAATTAGGATTGCAGTCCCTTGTGTTACGTCTTGTAGTTTTGTAGGTATTTAAAATGTTTCGGATCAAAATATCGCTTCCATCTTTAGTGTGGAAGATGAAATATGGTAATCGCATAAAGATTAACATGCCGACGTAACCAAAAATCTTGGAGTTGTTATCAAAACACTTTCCAATTTAAATGAAAGAATTAATTTGTTTTATTCAAATATTTGGCCACTGTACATACGAATTAATGGCAAAGGGCTTCAGTATTAGATTTGAAGCTCCGACACGGTTGATCGCCCTAGAAGACTTCATTGCAAAGGGCTTTGGATGGAAGACAATGGCGGTGGTAAATATACCACTGATTAAAATTTCTGCTGGGGTACTATGTGCAGTTGAAGCGTTTTATGTGGCAAAGGAGGACGTAAGTAGTGGCTGCTTGGAGGAGGGGAGGTGGAAGATACCAACCACTATTGTAAGTTTAATGGACAGACCAGAGTGGAGGAATGAGGATAGATGTCACGCAGAGCAGACGAAGGATAATGAAAGAACGGATGCTGCAGAAACCAATTACTTTTAGTCTTCAGGACCAGGACTGAGATACGAAGGATAAAGGATAAATCCACGTATGCCCATATGAGATTATTAATTCGGTTGATATATATATATCTTACATGTGGTGGTATATTTAATCAAGACTTCTATCTTATTGGCAGCCCTTCCCCGGAGATTGAATTAACCAGGTTTTAACATTAGGGTGTGGAGATTAGAATTACTACATTTTGATGGTTATGAAACAGGTTCTTGATGAATAACCTGTTGCCAGGATATTAGAAGCATCACTAAGATAAGAGAATTAAATATATGAGCTATAAGATTTGAAGATTTTATGGTGAATAAATGTAAAGAAGTTTTCAATGGTGATAAGCCGTTTCGAAGAATG